TCATTGCATGGCTTCTGGGATGTACTCCCCGCGGCTCTTCAAAGACATTTCGGGGTTGTACTTTGTGTCGATTGAAACAAGAAAATAATAATAATAATAATGATGATGCTCCTGAACAAGCTCCAAGCAGGTTGGATATACACGTCGGACAGAATCACGTCGGAGAGCGATTTTAAGTTAAGACTCTGTTGTTCGCCCGAAAAAGTGAGGGCCTCAAGCCCCTTTGTCGTCAGTGTTTGGTGACTATCTCTAAGCGTCGTCATGAACGATTGCCACTCGCGATCGATGAGGTCACCACAGGTCGAGCGGAAGCCGGGAGCACCCGGAGGAAAAACGGCGTGCGCGTGTGCGAGGGGGCAACGCGCTATCCCTCACAGGAGCGAGAGGTTTAATGTCAGCCCCGGCCACTCTGCTGGACGACGTTCTGCTGCCGAGCCCGGTTACTGCGCGTCCAGGGAAAGGGGCATCACCACCACGCATAATCATTAATCAGCCATCACCACCACCACTTACCATCATCACCACGTATCATCATTAGCCATCATAACCACCCATAAACATCTCCAGCACCCATAAACATCTCCAGCACCCATCATCACTACGGCCACCAATTACCACCACAACTCATCACCACCACGCATAATCATTAATCAGCCATCACCACCACCACTAACCATCATCACCACGCATAATCATTAATCAGCCATCACCACCACCACTTACCATCACCACCACGCATAATCATTAATCAGCCATCACCACCACCACTTACCATCACCACCACGCATAATCATTAATCAGCCATCACCACCACCACTTACCATCATCACCACGTATAATCATTAATCAGCCATCACCACCACCACTTACCATCACCACCACGCATAATCATCAATCAGCCATCACCACCACCACTTACCATCATCACCACGTATAATCATTAATCAGCCATCACCACCACCACTTACCATCACCACCACGCATAATCATTAATCAGCCATCACCACCACCACTTACCATCATCACCACGCATAATCATTAATCACCCATCACCACCACCACTTACCATCACCACCACGCATAATCATCAATCACCCATCACCACCACCACTTACCATCACCACCACGCATAATCATTACTCACCCATCACCACCACCACTTACCATCATCACCACGCATAATCATTAATCAGCCATCACCACCACCACTTACCATCACCACCACGCATAATCATTAATCAGCCATCACCACCACCACTTACCATCATCACCACGTATCATCATTAATCAGCCATCACCACCACCACTTACCACCACGCATAATCATTAATCAGCCATCACCACCACCACTTACCATCACCACCACGCATAATCATTAATCAGCCATCACCACCACCACTTACCATCACCACCACGCATAATCATTAATCAGCCATCACCACCACCACTTACCATCACCACCACGCATAATCATCAATCAGCCATCACCACCACCACTTACCATCACCACCACGCATAATCATTAATCAGCCATCACCACCACCACTTACCATCACCACCACGCATAATCATTAATCAGCCATCACCACCACCACTTACCATCACCACCACGCATAATCATTAATCAGCCATCACCACCACCACTTACCATCACCACCACGCATAATCATTAATCAGCCATCACCACCACCACTTACCATCACCACCACGCATAATCATTAATCAGCCATCACCACCACCACTTACCATCATCACCACGCATAATCATCAATCAGCCATCACCACCACCACTTACCATCACCACCACGCATAATCATTAATCAGCCATCACCACCACCACTTACCATCACCACCACGCATAATCATCAATCAGCCATCATCACCACCACTTACCATCACCACCACGCATAATCATTAATCAGCCATCACCACCACCACTTACCATCACCACCACGCATAATCATTAATCAGCCATCACCACCACCACTTACCATCATCACCACGCATAATCATTAATCAGCCATCACCACCACCACTTACCATCACCACCACGCATAATCATCAATCAGCCATCACCACCACCACTTACCATCATCACCACGCATAATCATTACTCACCCATCACCACCACCACTTACCATCATCACCACGAATAATCATAAATCACCCATCACCACCACCACTTACCATCATTACCACGTATCATCATTAATCAGCCATCACCACCACCACCACTAACCATCATCACCACGCATAATCATTAATCAGCCATCACCACCACCACTTACCATCACCACCATGCATAATCATTACTCACCCATCACCACCACCACTTACCATCATCACCACGCATAATCATAAATCACCCATCACCACCACCACTTACCATCATTACCACGTATCATCATTAATCAGCCATCACCACCACCACTAACCATCATCACCACGCATAATCATTAATCAGCCATCACCACCACCACTTACCATCACCACCACGCATAATCATTAATCAGCCATCACCACCACCACTTACCATCACCACCACCACGCATAATCATTAATCACCCATCACCACCACCACTTACCATCACCACCACGCATAATCATTAATCACCCATCACCACCACCACTTACCATCACCACCACGCATAATCATTAATCAGCCATCACCACCACCACTTACCATCATCACCACGCATAATCATTAATCAGCCATCACCACCACCACTTACCATCACCACCACGCATAATCATTAATCAGCCACCACCACTTACCATCACCACCACGCATAATCATTAATCAGCCATCACCACCACCACTTACCATCACCACCACGCATAATCATTAATCAGCCATCACCACCACCACTTACCATCACCACCACGCATTATCATTAATCAGCCATCACCACCACCACTTACCATCACCACCACGCATAATCATTAATCAGCCATCACCACCACCACTTACCATCACCACCACGCATAATCATTAATCAGCCATCACCACCACCACTTACCATCACCACCACGCATAATCATTAATCAGCCATCACCACCACCACTTACCATCACCACCACGCATAATCATTAATCAGCCATCACCACCACCACTTACCATCACCACCACGCATAATCATTAATCAGCCATCACCACCACCACTTACCATCACCACCACGCATAATCATTAATCAGCCATCACCACCACCACTTACCATCACCACCACGCATAATCATTAATCAGCCATCACCACCACCACTTACCATCACCACCACGCATAATCATTAATCAGCCATCACCACCACCACTTACCATCACCACCACGCATAATCATTAATCACCCATCACCACCACCACTTACCATCACCACCACGCATAATCATCAATCACCCATCACCACCACCACTTACCATCATCACCACGTATCATCATTAGCCATCTTCTTTGGCTCTTTCGGTAAAGTCACCACCACGTAGAATGAGAATAAAATAATAAATTGATAAAGTAAAATAACACAATAATATTGTATAATAAAATAATAAATTGATAAAATAACACAATATTGTATAATAAAATAATAAATTGATAAAATAACATAACACAATAATATTGTATAATAAAATAATAAATTGATAAAATAATAAATTAATAAAATAACAAAATAATATTGTATAATAAAATAATATATTGATAAAATAACATAACACAATAATATTGTATAATAAAATAATAAATTGATAAAATAACACAATATTGTATAATAAAATAATAAATTGATAAAATAACATAACACAATAATATTGTATAATAAAATAATAAATTGATAAAATAATAAATTAATAAAATAACACAATAATATTGTATAATAAAATAATAAATTGATAAAATAACATAACACAATAATATTGTATAATAAAATAATAAATTGATAAAATAAAATAACACAATAATATTGTATAATAAAATAATAAATTGATAAAATAAAATAACACAATAATATTCTCACGACGTTTCGGCCACAACACAAGCGGCCTTCATCAGGTGAAGGGACGAGACTGTCTGGTAGGACAGCCAGCATTGACTCTTAATACCTCTCACACCACGGTTAATGGTATGGTTTACAAATGGAGTATAATAGCGCCTCGCAGCTGTCTCTCTCCCCCTCCTCTGTTCCGACCATGGATGAACTCGTCCGTCTGAACGGGGCCCGTAGCTATCCGTGGTGCTAAAGTTGAGGGTAAGAATCCACCCATTTTTTCGCCATATAGCATTGTGATATATAACGACTTATTGTTGGTAGCTTAGCTGATTGGAGAATATAGAGTTTATTGATAACATTAAGGTAATTTATATTTTAGTTTTTTATTGGTTCACTATATAGTACTGTGAATAGCTCAGATGTGTAGGCCTTGACTTCAACATAGTCATTTCTGTGACCAGTCACTAGCTAATCACTCAGTTATTTCAATGCTAAATTCGCCTAGTTATTTCAATGCTAAATTCTCCTGTTTGATTTGTACTAAGTGCCTCGGTGAATGTGTATGCTCTGGCTTTAACGTAGCTATTTCTGTGACCAGTTACAAGCTAATCACTCAGCTATTTCAATGCTAAATTCTATGCTAATTCCTTTATCAAGGGGTGCCTCTGCGGATGTGTATGCTTTAACTTTTAACATAACTATTTCTGTGACCAGTCACAAGATAATCACTCAGCCATTTCAATGCTAAATTCTATGCTAATTCCTTTGTCAAGGCGCTTTGTTTCCTCTCACACAGCTTAAAGGTCGTGATCTGAACGTGGCTCTTTCACTCCAGCGCTGTCCTACCAGACAGTCTCGTCCCTTCACCTGATGAAGGCCGCTTGTGTTGTGGCCGAAACGTCGTGAGAATATTATTGTGTTATTTTATTTTATCAATTTATTATTTTATTCTCATTCTACGTGACTTTACCGAAAGAACCAAAGAAGATGAATCATTGCATTCACGAAAGCTTTAAATCGAAGTGTGTGTATCGTGTATATTGTGTGTAATTGTGTGTGTATATATTTGCTGCGTGTAATGTGTAGGTTGAATGACATGAAGCAGAGACTCAAGACAGCCCAGTGCTAGAAGGAACCAATGCGAGCAGTGTCCATACGACATGAGCCATACTGGACACATTCATCTGTACCACAAATCACACATGGCCAAGAAGGCCTTCAAGTGTACTGTATGCGAGAAGGTATTTCGACGTTCATCACAACTTAGAACTCACCAGAGACAGCACACAGGAGAGAAGCCCTTCGAGTGCACTGTCTGTGGTAAAGCGTTTACACGTTCAGCAACTCGTCACGTTCACCAGAAAACACACACAGGCGAGAAACCCTTCAAATGCACTGTGTGTGGAAAGGCATTTGCAGGTTCAGGAAATTTTTTGCAACATCAGAGAACACACTCAGGCGATAAGCCCTTCAAGTGCACTTTGTGTGAGAAGGCATTTAAACAGTCATCACATCTCCAAATTCACCAGAGAACACACACAGGCGAGAAACCCTTCAAGTGCACTGTGTGTGGTAAAGCGTTTACACGCTCAGGATCTCTTAACATTCACCAGAGAACACACACAGGCGAGAAGCCCTTCAAGTGCACTGTTTGTGGTAAAGCGTTTACACAGTCAGCATATCTTAACATTCACCAGAGAACACACACAGGCGAGAAACCCTTCAAATGCACTGTGTGTGGAAAGGCATTTGCAGGTTCAGCAAATTTTTCGCAACATCAGAGAACACACTCAGGCGATAAGCCCTTCAAGTGCACTTTGTGTGAGAAGGCGTTTAGACAGTCATCACAACTTCAAATTCACCAGATAACACACACAGGCGAGAAACCCTTCAAGTGCACTGTTTGTGGTAAAGCGTTTACACGCTCAGCATATCTTACCATTCACCAGAGAACACACACTGGCGAGAAGCCCTTGAAGTGTACTGTGTGTGGTAAAGCGTTTACTAAGTCAAAATATCTTAAGTATCATCACCAGAGACAACACACAGGCGAGAAGCCCTTCAAGTGCACTGTGTGTGGGAAGTTATTCGCACGGTCAGACAACCGAAATAGGCATGAGAAGATCCATGCGGAGAAGGAGGTGGAATCGATCCCATCTCGCATGCAACAAGACCCAAAAGACAACCCGAGTTTAGCAACGTGGCCAGCAGTGAAGGTTGAACGGGAAGAAGTGAAGGGGGAATGTGAAGAGGTGAAGGTGGATCGTGAAAAGGTGAAGATGGAATGTGAAGAAGTGAAATGTGAAGATGAAGACTCAACTCCAGGCCCCGATCTCCAGGTGGATGGAGGCAGCGTCAAGCAGGAGCAGCTTTCGGACTCTGAGGGAGGGCCAGGCGACCCCCATGAAGTTGTGGATGTGGAGGTGTGGGTGGAGTTTTTGGGGGAGGGATCGTGCAGTGGTTAGTGTGCCGCCTTACGAGCGCGGGGAACCCGAGTTTGATTCCCGTTCACGGTCGACATCGGTGACAATTATCTGAATTGGTCCTGGGTCAACTCAGCCTCAAATGAGTACCTGGTGTGGTGCCTAAACACCACTGGGGAGACAAAGGCGGACGGGCATGGTGCTGGCCACCCACCCCCTCGCGTGCCGTGCCGACCTTCATCGGTGCTCGCTGCCACACTTCTGTTCAGGCTCTCAAGGGGCAAATTTATCTTCGAAGTTTTTGGACAAAGCAGAGTAAGAGGGCCCAGCACGTTAGAAGTGGGGTCTGGAAAGGTCTGAAAGAATTCCCAATGAAGGTCGCCTTATTTACAGGCATCTCTCATTACAACAATGCGTGCAGCTGTCGGCGTCGTCCACTCGGAGATTACCTTTCATTTAACGTAGCTACCCCAAAGCCTTGGGAACCACTTAAGAAGTTTTGTCTCTTGGAATCTCCATCCGGCCATCTTCTGTCCTCATTCAAACTGACTCCCTTATTAAAATCACCAACGTTTAGGTGTGAATGTTATTTTACAATGTTATTACTATTATTACATATCTTTGTTTCTAATCTATAATTGGGTGGAATGCTTTGATGTTACCTATTGGCCCGAGTCGCCCTTGAAACACATCTCTGCTCAATGGGCTTTGCTCGGAAAATACACTTCTGGTTCTTCGGATTCTGTAAATCTGATGGCATTGAAAACATTATTTAGCATTACGAACGAATGATTACGCATCAACCGATTGTAAGTCTCGATGTAACAATTTGCGTGTATCAGGGTCACGTATAGAATATGGGATGTATGGACAGATCGATTGCGTGTTATGAATATGAGCAATGCCCTTGTATTCATGTGACTGCGGAAGTTTGTGCGAAACGAACTGTCAGCTTAGAAGTGTTGGTGCCATCTTCCTCGCGAGAACAGTTCATAGTTTTCTTTAAAATAAGGAAGCTAATGGGACCTCTCTCGGCCTCGCTGTCCATTTCTCTGCACCACTTCGTCTAATAACACAGATCAAGGATAAGCATCAACACTCCGATGTGTTTAATTAAAAACGAAATGAAACTGGTGGATAAACAACAGATAAAATATATATTTTTAAAAAAACTTTTTTTAAACACGCTTTTATTAAATGTACTGAAAAGTAAGAAATAAATATTTTCTGTTCAAGTACTTTGCATTATTTATGTTTCATATACTCTTGTTGTAACTGACTAAATAAAAGCGTGGGGCGCCAGTACTATTTTTGAGCAAATGTGTGTATTCACAATGGGAAGTAAGTGTTCATATCTTGTTAATATGTTACAATTTGAACGGCAATGTTTTAAGCCGTTTATTTTTGGGAATGCCTGCATTGAGAATGTAAAGTAACTGTTCGTATGTAGTGAATATCTTAATATTGTAACGTACAACTTTTCACGCGTTGATGATTGTGAATATGTCTCGATTGACAATCGCAAGTAACTGGTGATATGTTGGTCATATGTTGTAATGTAAACGTGTAAGTTGTTAAGCCTTTTTATTTTTGTGAATGTCTGCATTTACAATAGAAAGTAACTGCTCATATGTTGTTTGTATATGTTCTAATGTAACGTTAAGTTTGTAAGCCCTTTATATTAGTGCATATGTAGTGTTCGATTTCACTCGGACAACTTCTGTCTTTCTTCGAACACCGCTTTATTTACAACTCTCAGCATGTCCTCCACATTCCACAATATCCAGGTCGCCACGGCTCACTCGCCGTGCTTCACTCGACTCGCTCGCCACCTTTGTCTCTCCACTCTCCACGATTACTTCGCTTACTCCGCACTCAGCGACTCCGCACTGAGCGACTCCGCACACAGCGACTTCGCACACAGCAACTCCACCCTTCACCTCTTAACTCCAACTATGTCTCTCAAACTCTGTCTTCCAACCTCTGTCTCTCAAACTCTGTCTTCCCTAAGCTCTCCAACGTCAACCCATCTCCAAGCTCTCCGCTCTTCGACCTCTCTCCAAGCTCTCCACCATTCGACCCATCTCCAAGCTCAACTCCTTCAACTCAACTACCCTCTGTTGACTCCGACTCCCGCTCTTATACCCGCTCTCATTACACCCCCGATTAATTAACCCGCGTCCCAACGGCGCTCCGCGTTACCGTCGCACCTGTTTCTCGCCAGACTTCCAGACGCCTCTCCAGCCCCGGCAACAGCACCAACCAATCGCAGCCGTCCACGGCTCTCCCAGCCTAATTGCCCCAACATAACCTGCACTGTATTCGCCTTTGCTACAGGCTGACCCAAGATAACCCATACTGTCTGTGTCATCATGTAATCACGCTGTTTCCACAACGCACCTTCGTACTCCACTACACATATATTTGTATTTGCAATAGAAAGTAACTGCTCATATGTTGGTTATATGTTTTAATTTAAACGTCAAATTTGTATGGCGTTGATTTATGTGCATATATCTGCATTGGCAATGGAAAATAACTGTCATATGTTAATGTTATCATTTGAAAGTTTAGTATTTCAGCCGTTTATTTTAGTGAATGTCTGCATTGCCAATGGAAAGTAACTGTCCATATGTTGTAAATATGTTGTAATTCTAACTGTAAGTTTGCATGGCGTTTTTGTTTGCTCATGTCAGGATTGGCAATGGAAAGTAACTGGGCATATGTTGTTAATGTTGTAATTAAAATGTTTTGTTTTAAAGCCGTTTATTTGTGTGAATGTGTGCATTAATGAAAATTAACTGCTTATTTGTTGTTAATAGGTTGTAATCGAGACGTAAATTTTTTAAGCCGCATATATTTGTTAATGTCTGAATTGGCAATGTAAAGTAACTGCGCATATGTTATATTCTTGGTTCAAGAACCAAGAATATGAATCCCTGCAGTCACGAAAGCTTTAAATGTTCTAATTACAAGGTTAAGTTTTTAAGGCGGTTTGTTTAGTAAATATGCGTGGATTGACAATGGGAAGAAACTGCTCATATGTTGTAATTGTTACCGAAAGTTTTAAAGGTGTTAATATGAGCGCCCCACGCTTTTATTTATAGTCGGTTACAACAAAAGTATATGGAACGTATAAGGCAAAGGAAAGTAAAACCTTGGATTGCGAGTAACTTGGTCTGCGAGTGTTTTGCAAGACGAGCAAATTTTTTAAATAAATATTAATTTGATAAACGAGCGAGGGTCTTGCAATACGAGCAGTGTACGTATACGCTTTGTCTGCCGAGCGTCACGTGATCACAACTGATCTACGAGTGCTTTGGTATACGAGTGCTTTGGATGACAAACACGTTTCCGGAACGAATTATGCTCGCAATCCTAAGGTTTTACTGTAAATCTCTTTTTAACAGATGTCCAATATGGGCACGGGGTAAGAATGTTACAACGACACAATACCAAAAACACGATATTAGCGCATGGTAACATGAAGGTAAACAAATCACCCACACACATACAGATAAAACTTAGCCATCCCAATCCTACCAGGCGAAGCCCACTGATGTAAAAGCGACCTAGCTATCACAATTATAGATCAAAAAAGTTGGGTATCACGTGGACAATTACAGCGGGCAAATCATCTAAATAATCTCAATGCATGTTTCTAAATGTCGAGGGGGGTGGGGGGACGGAGAACCTAGGATAGAGAGAGAGAGACACGCAAACTCCAAAAATACAGCAGCAGGCATCATGGTCGGGATCTGACCCACGACCTCCTGCATACCAGGCGAGGTAGTTAACATCACCTAGCCACCGTGGCATCTCTTAAATAAACAAATCAGGTATACAAGTTCAAATTGCATTTGTTCATCAATTCCCAAGTGTGGAAAAGGCAGTAAACAACAGAAACACTCCCCAGACCACACGAAGACAGAACACATACTGTCCCTCAGTAACATTGTACAACACTAAAAGTGAACTTAAATTTTGATTTAAAGCTTTCGTGACTGCAGGGATTCATATTCTTGGTTCTTTCGGTAAAGTCACGTAGAAGGGAAACAAAATAATAATCAGACTTATACGCACAGAACTAGATCAGTTAGACAAGACACTCTACAAATCACACTTATCATTGACGGCAATAATGTCCACATCGGATTGGGAACATGTAGACAATATGACTGCCTCTTCAGCTGCTACTATGTCGACCAAATGTAAGGAAAACCTGATTTCCAAATTTAACCTCCTCTTCAACAAAAGACCGGACCCACACACCAAAAAGTTAGACGTTAATAAAGTCGTAATTAATCGCAGTAACAGTTCTATTTCCGATGGTCTGAAATCCGTTTTAGCTAAAGGTCTAAACTTTGCAGTCACACCTAAACACATACCAGTTAATGATATAATTGCCCAAGTAGACGTTGCTCTCAGGGGCCTGGGTCACATCGCTGCAGACGTAGCAAGATCTGAAATCGCTGCAACCCTCAAAAACGCTAAGATGCCAGCTAGCAACCTCAGCAAAGATGAGCGTTTTGAATTATATAAATTAAAAAAGAGGAATGATATTGTAGTTCTCTCAGCTGACAAAGGCAATGCTACTGTCATCATGGATAAAATAGAATACAACAACAAAATTAAAGAATTACTCGACG